TCCTCCCTCCCCCGCTCCTGCGCGCCCGCGGCCGCCCCCGCCTGCCCTCCGCGGCCGCGAAGGGGCGCGGAGTCACTTACTGTTCTGCATGTTGGGCTGATAGAGCAGTATCCCACGGGGCTCGCCTATAGCAGTCTATCAGTGACAAAATAGGCGTTAATCAGGGGAGGTAGTGCACACGGTTAAGCTGCAGAGAAGCTAATATCTCACAGGCTTACTTTGTTATGCTTAGGCGTCTTCCCCCGATTAGTTTAAGGATTTGGGGGCTTTAATACCTCAAGGCAAAAATGTACATATGTATCCCTAACACGCCAAAAAAAAAAAAAAATTAAGAAAAGCAACCCGCCAAGTGGTTTCTCGTTTTAATTGCATGCAGGTGGCGTATTGCCTCGTCGTTAGTGCCCTTTGCTGAGGTGGTGTATTAAGCGGAGCGACAACAATCACAAAGAGAGTCCGAAGTCATGTTTTTAAACTTGCCTGAAAGCGGGGTGGACTGTCCTCTCATACAATTTAGGGACTCGCACATCTGCGTGTCACTAGTTAAAGTCTTCCCTCTAGGACAAAGCAGAAGAAGTACATTAAAAAGTGCGGAGCGACGCCGGGGAAGGTGTGCGGGCCGGGCCGGGCCGGGGGGAGCGGAGTGGAGCGGAACGGGGCGGGCGGCGCTGCGCGGTTACCGGGGGCGGGGAGGGGGACACGACACAACCCTCCGCCGGCTGTCCTGCCTGCTGGGAGCGGGGCTCCATTTTTACCTCCGGGTATTTCCTCGAGTTATGGGGGTTTTTTTTCTCCTTTCCCCGCGGCACTACAACTTTTTTTTTTTTTTTTTTTTCTCCCCCAAACTCCCCGTCTTGTGATTAACTTCTTTTTTGGTCTTTAGATCTTCCCCTTTTTCACTGTACTGTGACACACGCTGTCTACCTCGCCTCACTGCTTTAAAAAGTAAGAACAGGAGGGGGTGAGAACTGTTAAACAAAGCCTACAGAAAGCGAACAATGGCCTCCATTCTGCTCCTCTACCCAAACCCCGAGTGCAGAAACCCAGGCTCCTTAACCGGCCGCGCAGCTTCCCAACTCAACGGACCAACAACCCTCCAACTTACAAAGAGCAGAGAAACAAGCCCCTTCTCCCTTCATTAGTGCCTGCCTTGACCCAGCGCCTGGACAGTCCCCAGCGCCTTTTTTTTTCTCTTCCCCCCCCATCTCCCCCCCCTCTTTCCCCTGCTCCCTCTCTCCTCCTCTCGCCACCTTCCCTCCCTCCC